CTCGCTGCGGTGCCAGTCGTGAGCGCGAGGTGACCAATGAGCGGGGTCCATCTGGAAGGACTGATCGCCATTGCCAAGAGCTTATTGTACCCATCCAGACCATTCGCTTGGTGTGCAGGGACAGTCTGGGGAATCCCGATGAGGATATGGGATCCAGCAACCACGTGCCCACCGAATCTGGGTCAAGTCCTTCCCACAGTCCGGAGGAGAGCGCTTCCGGGCGCTCAGGACGCGCCAATTGGCTTGGAAGATGCAGACCTTTTGGGGAAGATGCTGTTTAACTCATTCTCTGCTTGATTGTCCCCAGCTTTTAGAAGCCGCGGGGATCCCTAAACTGGCGCAGGGTCCTCCCCTCCCCTGGGCCGCTGCGCCGCGAGGCTAGGCACCCGGCTATGGTGGGGTCACCACACCTGGGGAGACGCTAGCGGCAGAGGATCAGATGGCCTGTCTTTAACTTCCCTCGCTTGTGGGGTTGCAGCAAAGTGATTGAAAGCTAGGACAGGAGGCAGCACACTTTACATCGGGCCTTTTGGGGATGAATAAGGACTCTTTTTACTGGATGCCAGATACTTTTCAGGGCTTGCCAAGGTGTTCAAACCTTTTGTGTGTGTGTGTGTGTGTGTGCAGAACTAAGGTTTGAACTCAGGGCCTACACCTTGAGCCACTCCACCAGCCCTTTTCTTTGATTTTTTTTTTCCAGATAGGGTCTCACAAACTATTTGCCCGGGGTTGGCCTCGAACCTTGATCCTCCTAATCTCTGCCTCCTGAGTAGCTAGGCTTACAGGCATGAGCAGCTAGTATGTGTCTCATTCTTTTTTCTTGATAGGTTAATTTTAAACATTTTTACTTTCAGTTATTTATATGTAGCTCAAGAATAAGAAACAGAAGAGCTTGGGGTTGTGACTCAAGTGGTAGAGCACTTGCTTAGCATGCAAGAGGCCCTGGGTTCAATCTTAAATACTGCACTAAAAAAAAAAAAAAAAGAGAAATAAAAAATATAAAATATCCATCTAAAAATTGGCAGGTTTAGATTGAATTTTTAAAACTTCATATAGTAGAAAGTACTGGGTCTGAACCAAACAAAAGCCTGTTCATATTTGCAATTTAAAATAATTTGTGGAAAAAAAGTTTGACCTTGAAACTGTTCATATGCAAGTAATTCTGGGAATATTATCTTGTGCTGTACTGTTTCTCCCCTACCCCCAAATCCCCTTGGGGCCAAGGATTTTGCCCTTTTAAAAGCTCCTCTTGTGAGATTTGGTCATGACCACTGCTAGTGTGTCAATAGAAACCCAAGGAGCCATTTGCTACTTGCAGTGATGACATAACTTTTTTGGCTTTCCCAAGCTTGAGCCCAGAAGCTGGAGGGCAGCGAGGCAACACAGAGACTCTATCTTTTTTTAAATTATTATTCATTTATTCATATGTGCATACATTGTTTGGGCCATTTCTCCCCCGGAGACTCTATCTTAAGGGAAAAAGAAAATAGATTTCTGGATTTTCCCTTCAAGTAAAACTGGTCTCATATTCCTCCCACCATGACAGTTGGCTGGAACTGGGGCAAACTAGGAAACTAGGTTTATTTCTATTGTTTTTTTTTTTTTTTTTCCCAGTACTAGGGTTTGAACTCAGGGACTTCACTTTGGACCACTTCACCAGCCCTTTTGTGTGAAGGGTTTTTCAAGAGTCTTGCAGAACTTTTTGCCCAGGCTGGCTTTGAACCATGATCTTCCTGATCTCTGCCTCCTGAGTGGCTAGGATTACAGGCATGAGCCACCAGTGCCCGGTTATTATTCTCTTAATAGATACATTCAGTGGCTAGTATTTTATAGCATGTGTATGTTTTTATAGTTGATACAACCAGATTATGTTAGGATGGTAAAATGTGTTGTCTACTTTCATGTAAGTGAAATGGTTCCTTAAATACCTAAAAAATTTTCACTTAAAAAAAATAGGAAAAAGCTGGATCTGGTACAAGCCTGTATTCCTAGCCATTTGGGAATAGAGGCAGGAAAGTTGTGAGTTTGAAGCCAGGCCAGGCAAAATGGTAGTGAAACCCTGTCTCAAAAACAGAATGAATGTAAAATAAACAGGCTGGAGGCATAGCTAAAGTGGAGCAGCACTTGCACAACTTGCACGGGCTCTGGACTCAATCCCCAGAAACACAAAACAAAACAAACCAAGTTCTCTCTCTTTTGACAGAGAGAGAAAAAGAGGCAGAGAAATGCTAAGTTTCCCCTGTCCTCTATGTTTACGTCTTTTGTTTTGAGACAGGATCTTACCAGGTAGCTGAGGTAGGCCTGGAACTTGGGAACCCACTGCCTCAGCCTCCTGAGTGCTGGGATTACAGGCATGCACTACAATGCCTGACATGTGAGTCTCCTAAAAGTTCTAATTTTCTCTGCATCAATATTGGCAGTTTATATTTTCCTAAAAATAATTTTGTTTAGGTTTTCAAATGTATCTGAAAGAAGCATTGTATTCAGAATAACCTTCTAAATCAGTAATCATAAGGTTTCTGTTTTTTTTGAAACATAATTCTGCTTGTCTTTTCACACTTTTTATCAGCATCACCAATGTTTTTTCTATACAATTTCTCTTTTCTACTAGGTATTATATGATGTCGCAAAAAGGAACACAGCCTTCCCACACATTCTTCACGTTATGTTCCCCACCAACACTCAAAACGATTATTTTTCTATTTGACAGGAAATAAGAGATGATGAAAAATTTTCTGACTTCATTAACTTCAAAGGAGCTTTCTTTAAATACTCTGCCTACTGGGTAAGGTCTGCAGATAATTAAAGCCTTTCAATAAATAATAGAACTGATGACAAAAATGAATGTGAAAAGAATGACTAACATACGGTGAGCACGTGTTTATTACAAGGCGGCACAATTCTAAGCAACTTCTGTTTAATACACATAAAACATTATGAGGTAGGTATTGTAATTATCTCCATTTTATAATTTCTACTGAGAAAAAGTACAGTCCTAACTGGGTGTGCTGGTCCACTTCTGTAATCCCAGCACTTATGGGGACAGGGGGCTGAGGAAGGGGGATCACAAGTTTGAGGCCAGCTTGTGCTACATGGGTGAGACCCTGTTTCAAAACAAACAAGAAAGCCATGGGACCCAAGCCTGGCATGGTAGTTTATGACTGTAGTCCAAGCTGCTCCATAGGCTGAGGTGGGAGGATTGCCTGAATTCAGGAGCTTGAGACAGCTTGGACACCAAGCAAGAACCTGTCTCAAAAGAGGGGAAAGCCGGGTGCTGGGGGCTCACGCCTGTAATCCTAGCTATTCAGGAAGCAGCGATTAGGAGGATTGCAGTTCAAAGCCAGCTTGGGCAAACAGTTCAAGAGACCCTATCTTAAAAAAACCCTTCACAAAAAAGGGATGGAGAAGTGGTTCAAGGTGAAGGCCCTGAGTTCAAACCCCAGTACCACAGAAAGAGGGGGTGTGGGGGAAGCAAGACAAAAGAAAACAAACAACAAAAAAACAGGGCCCAGTGTGACAGCACCTCTCTGTAGTTCCAGCCATTTTTGAGGCCGAATCAGGAGGATCACTTGAGCCCAACAGTTTTTAAGTTCAGCCTGGGCAACACAGCGAGACTCCTTAACTTGAATAGAAAATTCTCAAGAAGGATAAGTAAAAAAGTGGTAACGATTATTCTTTGGGAAGAGAAATGGGAAAAGAGATGGCAGTCAAAGGGTATGCTTGCCTTATTTGTGATATTTAAATCTTTTTATAAAAAATATATGCATGCCCTATTTCTGCAATTAAGATAAAAGACATCGTACAAAGCTATGCCTTGGAAGAACATCCATGAGCACATTCTAGAATGGCCACACATGCATTCTAGAATGTACCATGGCAAAATACCTGAAGAAATTACAATATCCATCAGTCAGGATTTAATAAAATGATATTATATTAACACAATGGAACATCATACAAGTATTAAAGTCCTTATTTACTAAGTGGGACGTTGTTCATGAATTTTTTTTTATAATTTTTTTTCTTGTAAAGAGCAAAAAGAATGAGCCATCTTCAAAAATTGAAAAGGTTGCCAGACATGGTGGCTCAAGACTATAATCCTAGCTACACTGGAGGTTGAGACTGGGAGGATCATATTCTGAGGCCAGCCCAGGCAAAGTTCTTGAGACCCCATCTCAACCAATGACTAGGACACAGTGGTGCATGCCTGTCATCCCAGCTATGTGGGGAATCACAACTAGAGGATTGCAGTTCAGGATGGTTCAGGCATCAAGTGAGACCCTTTCTCAAAGGTAACCAATGCTTGGGCTAGGGATGTAGCTCAATGGTAACAGTGCGTGACTAACATGTACATGGCCCTGGGTTTTATCCCCAGCACTGTAAAAACAAAACAAAACAAAACAAAAACCCAGACAAACCAATGCAAAAAGGGCTGGTGGAGTGGCTCAAATGGTAGAACACCTACCTAGGAAGCATGAGGCACTGAGTTCAATCCTAGTACAGCCAAAATAAAAATAAAAATTTAAAAAGGTCACTTCTCCTAGTTATTTTTTTTAAACAGGAATTTTATAAACCATGATGTAAAGAGAAACTTTACAGTCACATGAATTTAAAAAGGATTAAAATGTTATGTAACAATTATAGAAAAACTGGGAAAAAATAGTAAATGAAAAGCGCAGGATTGTATTTCTACATGAACTTTCTAATTTTTAAGATTAGAAGCACTGAAAGTATGGCCTTTTTCAATATTTGTTAGACTGAATAATCTGAGGTCGTAAGAAATATGAGCTCTTATTAAAAGGCTTCCAAAATATATTCTATTCATAGGGTATTTCTCCAACAGAATTTTTCTTCAGCTGAACAAGCTGCAGTTAACAAATAAAATATTTCTACATTCTATCCAGAGGGATTATTAACAATATAAATTATTGGAAACTGAACAGTTTTGAGCCTTCCATACATTCTGTATGTTCTGGTTTATCACCAGTACAAATTTTGATGCTGGATAAGCTGTGAGCCATTACTAAAGTTCTTCCCACATTCTCTGATTCCATAGGGTTTCTCGCCAGCATGGATTCTATGGTGACTAATAAGCTGTGAACTCTGAGAATAGGCCTTCCCACACAACTTACATTCATAGGGCTTCTCTCCAGTGTGAATTCTCTGATGTCTGGTAAGATCAGAACCAGAACGAAAGGCCTTTTCACACTCTTTACACTCATAGGGCTTCTCACCTGTATGGATTCTTTGATGTTTAATAAGTTGAGAACTCTGACTAAAGGCATTGCCACACTCCTTACACTCATAGGGCTTCTCTCCAGTGTGAATTCTCTGGTGCTGAGTAAAATTGGAGCCACTACTAAAAGCCTTGCCACACTCCTTACACTCGTATGGCTTCTCACCAGTGTGAATTCTCTGATGTCGAGTAAAGTTCGAGCCACTACTAAAGGCCTTCCCACACTCCTTACACTCATAGGGCTTCTCTCCAGTGTGAATTCTGTGATGTCGAGTAAGGTCTGAGCCACAAATGAATGTTTTCCCACATTCCTTGCATTCAAAGGGTTTCTTGCCAGTGTGAATTTTCTGGTGATGAGCAAGTCTTGAGGGATGTCTAAACGTCTTTCCACATTCCTTGCATTCATACGGTTTCTCAATGGTATGAATTATTTGATGTGCAGTAAACTGTGAGCCATGTCTAAAGTTTTTCCTGTTCTCTTTAGTTGCACAGTATTTCTCTCTATTATTAATGATTTGCTGCAGTGTAAAGGAAGGATGTTGACTGAAAGTAGGCACGTCATCACCAGTGATCATCAGCTCACTGAAATGTCTCTCCTGAGAGCAATGCTGCTTCTCAAACTGGCCATGACATTCCCAGTCATCTGGGAAACTGGAGCACTGAAGGCCACACTTGGCAAGTCTTCCCATGACTTCCCACTGGGCCTGCTCTAGTTCATAAATTTCCTTCTTCAGAAAAAATTTCTTTGTCTCAGATCTTGATTCCAGTGCTGAAAGAAAACATAAAAGCAATCACTCACCGTTATTTGGGAGAAAAGAAACTTCAGTTAAAATGTGAAAATTAAACTGATTTTCTTTTTTTAAAAAAAAGAATGAGAAAAGATGAGAGAGTAGAGAGAACACAGAAATACCAAGTTGATTATGTGATACATAGTAAGCACTCAACATTATTGTGGACCAGCATTCTGAATTAAGGAAGATACTTTGAAATTATACCTAATCTGTGTGGGCAATAACCCACACAGCAACTTTTCTCTGAAACCTACAAGGTGTTCAACCTGACCATTCATTATAACAGCAGAGTACAAAATAGAAACTTTAAATCCGTTCTCAATGACACTGACAGACATGGCTGTGATAAAACAACTTATCAGAAGAAAAGACGTCAGAATACCTATAAGTGAAAGTCATGGGAGGGAAAGTAAAAACACAAGATAGACAATTAATCCTTCAGCAAAGCTGGGTGTGGTGGGTCATGCCTGCAATCCCAGTACTTGGGAGGCTGAGGCAGGAGAATGATGAGATCAAGGCCATCTAATGAGCTACATTAGAGAGATCCTGTCTCAAAAAAAAAAAAGACAAAATACAAAAAAAGCTCAAACTCTGAGCAAGAACAAAACTTTCAATGTTTAGCCCTTTGCAGAAACATTAATTTGACCAACCATCCATGTGTGAAAACAACCTTCACAGATGCTTGACAATACGGGGTGATAGATGAGATTACAGCACCTGGGTGAAGCACAATAATTAAAAAAATGAAGCCAGTGGCTACGCCTGTAATCCTAGCTACTCAGGAAGCAGAGATCAGGAGGATTTAGGTTTGAAACCCACCTGGGCAAAAGTTCTCAAGAGTCTATCTTGAAAAAGCCCATCACAAAAAAGGGCTGGTGGAGTGGCTCAAGGTATAGACCCTGAGTTCAAACCCCAGTACTACAAAAATAAAAATAAAAATCAGTGGGGTGGTGGAGTGGCTCAAGCGGTAGAGCACCTGCCTAGCAAGCATGAGGCCCTGAATTTGAACCCCAGTACTGCCCCAGTACCACACACACATAAAAAACAATAACACTAGTACAGTATGTCTTGAGGGATAACTAACTCTTCCTTAAAAAAAGAAGGAGGCAGGGTGTGGCAATACACGCCTATAATCACAGCACTTAGGAGGCTAAGGCAGGAAGATCTTGAGTTCAAGGCCAGTCTGAGCTCAGTCAGAGACTGACTGAGATCTTGAGTTCAATGCTCAGTCTGAGACCAGTTTGGTCTCAAAGCACCAAATAAGTAAATAAATAGGTTGAGTTCAAACCTCAGTTCTACCAAAATAACAATAATAATAATAATAATGTAAGTCAAGTGTTGGTAGCTCCCACCTGTAATCCTAGCTATTCAGGAAGCAGAAATCAGGAGGATTGTGGTTTGAAGCCAGCCCCATGCAAACAGTTCAAGAGACCCTATCTTGACAAAACCCATCACAAAAGAGAACTGGAGGAATGGCTCAAGTGAAAGAGCACCTTCCTAACAAGTGTTCAAGGCCCTGAGTTCAAACCCCAGTACCATTAAAAAAAAGTATGAGTGAATCAATAGGGTTTGGAACCCCTGAATCAAAAACTAAAAAACAGCCAAGTGCTGGTGGCTCACATCTGTAATCCCAGCTACTCAGGAGGCAGAGATCAGGAGGATCTCGGTTCAAAGCCAGCCTGGACAAATAGTTTGGAGACCCTACCTCAAAAAAATCCATCACACACACACACACACACACACACACACACACACACACACACACAGAGCCCATGAAAAGATTTGCTGGTGGAGTGACTCAAGTGATACAGTGCCTGGCTAGCAAGCATGAGGCTTTGAGTTCAAACCCCAGTACCACCAAGAAAAAAAAAAGCCCATGAAAAAACCCAACACAGAAAAAGGGCTGGTGCTCAAGGTTTAGGCCTTGAGTTCAAACCCCAGTACTGCAAAAATAAATAAGTAAATAAATAAAAAGCTTAGTTAAAGAAATCTTCGGCAATGTAGGAAAATACATATTTCAGCAGATAGTGATGCTCTTACAAACTAAAAGAAGATGAGAAGCTGGAAAGGAACTGGATCCAATACAGGTAGAAAAGAAAATCGGGAGGATGATTTTAACAGCTAGTTAAAATTATGAGATGAGTGCAAGAGAAGAATAGCAGGCCTTGTGCTAGGTAAGGGGAAGGTAAGATCACACAAAAGCTCAGGCTGAAAAGGTCTTACATTTGCACAATGCCTGAAGACTTCAAGGGGAGTGTCCCAGCAGCATGTCAAGGAAACAGTCTCCCCAACTAACCAACTGGGCGGATGCCTGCCATGCTTCACTTACCTGACCTCTGGCCTCTTGTCAGCTCTCTGTCAGCCAACCAGGGCTCCTTCCCTTGCTCCAAGTACACGATCACATTTGGTTTGGAAATGGAATGTCCTGCTGACAAAACAAGCAATGAGACAAACGTATAATAAGACTGCCTCAGAATTCAAATCCAGTGCCTTCATTGTAAAGAAAGACATGACATTACAGGAAGGGTCAAAGAAAGATACAACAGACTTACGGAGCTTCCTAGAATATTTGAACTAGTCTCCATAACTCAGTGCAGCTTCCTTTTTCTAACTCTATAGTATTCAGGACTGTTCCTGTGAGAATAGGATGTAGAACAAACTGGTTTGTTTGTCTTATGGTTCTTGGGTTTGAACTCAGGGCCTATAGCTTGAGCCACTCTACCAGCCTTTATTGTGATGGATTTCTTCAAGATAGAGTTTCTCAAACTATTTGCCAGGACTGGCTTTGAACGTCGATCCTCCTCATCTCTGCCTCCTGAGTCGCTAGGATTACAAGTGTGAGCCACCGACGCCCAGCTGCCAACTGGTTTTTAAAGGTAGGTGAACATTTCATATTGGAGGAAAAAGACCCTTCCAAGGGCAGAATCTGAATTATTATGGACGGATGTCCTTACCCATTGAAACCAGGTTGCTGTAATTCTCCAACATCACATCTCTGTATAAATCTCTCTGTTCATCAGTCAGGCACGCCCACTCCTCCTGAGAGAAGTGTATGGATACATCACTGAACACCACTGACTCCTGGAACAACAACCGATTTTATGACTTGATTAACGAAGAGTTTTTGTGGGAGAAAGACAGAAGAAACAAGATTAAGGTGGAGGAAGTGAAATCCAGTGAGTCTATAAATATCTCCGAAGCAAGTGGATATGTAAAAAAGTAAGCACACCAGAACTGCTGTGCTGTCACAACATTCTGTTTCTTCTAGATAAAAGTGCCTGTGTTTAGTGGGAGGACTTTCATCATCCAATCAAAGCTGGGAAGGTGGGGACTCCAGCTACCAGTTTTTGCAATTAAATGAAATTGTACATACAATGCCTCACAAAACACCTGCCATACAATTATCAATCTCATGTGATCTTTCTCCTCCCTCTTAACTAAGAGTAAAATCTGAGAATAAGGGAGATAGACAGGACATTAAGAGCATCCAGAGATGACACCAGATATATAAAAGGCATTAAGAGTCAGAGTCAACAGAATTCTCAAGATTACCACTAAAAGCAAGAAACAATAATTCATTAATATCCTGGTGGGGGAAACAAAAAGCAATTCTCACCTAGAGTTCTATAACCAAATTATCATTCTGAGTGTTTAAAAAAGTGACATTCCTAGACATACAAGGACTCAAGTACAGTTTCCTAAGAAACTACTGGAAGGTGTGTTATACCAAAATAAGGAAGTAAACCAGAAAAGAATATGACATGGGATTCAGGAAACAGGAAAAGCACACAGGAGAGTGGTGAAAGAAGATTCAGGGAAAATAACCAAAGGAAAGTAGCAGGAAAGGTGAACAGCAGACCCAGACAGTAATGTGATCAGGTGGAATCATGGAGAGAGAGAGATGGGGAGGGAATCCTATGTTCAGAAGTGATTGATGTGTTTCACCAGATAGAAAACATATTGACTGGCATGTGGCAATGCTACTGGAGATCTTAGATATAAACACAGCCTTCTAAGCAAACATGGGCAAAACATAATTAAGCTATAGGGCTGTAATCCCAGCACTCAGGAGGCTGAGGCAGGAGGACCATGAGTTCGAGGCCAGCCTGGGCTACATATTGAAACATTGTCAATATGTTTCAAAAGAAAAAACAAAACAAAACAAATAACCCCAGGAAAGTGATGAAAGGTTATATTATAATAATAAAGCCATGAGCTGCCTTAGCAGAGAAGGATGTTTGCAGCAATAATAACTTGACAGAGTTGATTTAATTAAAAATGGTAATATAATCCATAAGAATTAGGAAAAATGAAAGGTCCAACATGGGAAATATGTTCATCAAAAAACAGCAATTAATCCAGGCAAGGTGGCACATGTGTACAATTCCAGCACTTGGGAGGCTAAGGCAGGAGGATTGTGAGTTCCAGACCAGCCTGGGCTATGTAGCAAGACCCTGGCAAAAAAAAAAAAAAAAAGCCAGCAATTAAACCACATTTGAGAGTTGACTGAGGGCAGTGGCCTTTTAGGAGGGGAACTGGTAATGGAGCAAGATGGAATTCATTTTACTTCACTTGGAAGCATATGTAAATGGCTATAAAATATTTTATCTTAGAAAATTAAATTCACATATATATATGTATATACGTAATTTTTTTTTTTGGTGGTACTTGGGTTTGAACTCAGGACCTCACTCTTGCTAGGCAGGCATTATTGCTTGAGTCACTCTGCCAGCCCTTTTTTGTGATGAGTATTTTCAAAATACGGTCTCTAGAACTATTTGCTTGGGGCTGGCTTCGAAACTTGATCCTCGGGATCTCTGCTTCCTGAGTGGCTAGGATTATACATATGACCCAAATTATACACCTATACATATGTATATATGTATATATTTAACAGCTATCTCTGTCTCTCTCTTTCTTTCAAGGTGCTAGGGATTGAACTAGGACCTTCTGTATGCCAGGGCTCTACCACTGAGCTATATTCCTAACCCTAGGATGTTTTGAGACAGGGTATCACTATGTAGCCTAGGCGGTCCTTAAACTTGTGAACCCTCTGCCTCTGCTTCCTTAGTGCTGGAATTACAAGTGTGTGCTACCACGCCAGCATAAATGACAACTTTTCTTTTGCCTTTAGACATGTAGGCAGGAGGTGATCAAAGACCTCCCTAATGCTGGCCTAATGATATTTATAACTACCACTGCCCAATTCTAAACTCCCCTTGCTCCTGAGTTATAGGAAAATGATGAAGGACGATCCAGATTCTCACAACACGTACTGATGTCAGTTTTTCATGCATGCTTAGTGGACTGTCAGAGCTCTGACCAATGGCAACTCCCAAACCCAAAAGGCTCATAGACCAGGGGATCTTGCCATGTACTAAGACCAAGATCGAAGAAAACCATCACACATATTTTCTTACTGGAAAATGCAGGTGTGGAAATAATTAGGGCTTTTCCCTATGAGGTACCCTAATTACTCATTTCCATATAATCATACCATTGTCTAAGCAAATTAGAGTCATTAATTTAGTTCGGGGAGCATATTTCTGTCTTATCAGGATTTCTGGCAGAAGCCTGAGATAGGTAATACTGAAGGACTTAGTACATGAGAATGTAAACACCGTTTAAAAGATGAGGGGCCAAACACATTTACTCACGCCTGTAATTCTAGCTACTCAGGAGGCAGAGATCAGGAAGATCATGGTTCAAGGCAAGCTGGGCAAGAAGTTCTTGAGAACCCAATTCAATCAACAAAAGCGGGATGTGGTGGTATGCACTTATCATCCCAGCTATAAGGGAAGCATAAATAGAATTGCAGACCAGGCCAGCCATGGCATAAATACGAGACCCTATTAGAAAAATACCTAAAGCAAAAAGCACTGGCAGTGTGGCTCAAGTGGTAGAGTACCTGCCTGGCAAGTGGAAGGCTCTGAGTTCAAACCCCAGTAAGGGTACTAGGTTGTTTAGGAAGAAATGCAACTTAGGTTCCAGAAAGAGGATGCTAATAACCAGTGTAAAAACTAAAACAAAAATATTTTTAAATCTATCCTATATCACACCTTTTTTTTTTTTTTTTTTTAAAGAGACAGGACCCAAGTAGCTGGGACTACACGTATGTACCACCATGTCTAGTTTTGGATTAGACTATTTTTTGTTGTTTGTTATTTTTCAGCCTCAAACTGGTAAATCCTCCATTCTCAGTTTCCTGAATGGGGTCAGACCATCTTTACACTAAGTAATTCACAATCAAATAAGTCTTTTTGATGAAAGTGATAAACAATTTTTGGATGAATTGTAAAATTCTGATTAAAGACATGCTGATGACTCACGTCTATAATCCTAGCTACTCGAGATGCTGAGATCTGTAGGACTATGGTTCCAGACCAACCTGTAAAATAGTTTATGAGACCCCATCTTGATATAACCACAGCAAAATGGCCTGTAGTGTGGGAGAGCACCTGCTTTGCAAGTGCACCCTGAGTCCAAACCGCAGAGCCACCCAAAAACAAATTCTGACTAACATTTCTTTAGAGAAACTTGTTATCTAACCAATTTCTTGACAAAGAATTTACTGTAACTTAAGAGTGTAAAATTTCTAACTTCTTTTTTCTTTGAACACTTCCTCCAACTGAAAAACTTGAATTGACCCCTCCTTTACAGCAAGGGTGAAGTACTTTCACACTAAACTGTCTGAATGGGTTTTTTTCAAACAATAAAAAGCATCATAATGAAGAAAGCAAATGTTTACATGTACTAGAGGCAAAATTTACTCTTTGAGTGAAAAGAAACAGTACCTCACCTGAGTCATGGCTTTGTATAAAACGTTCCTCTTTTGGCAAAGTGTAGAGCTGTGACAGGCAAAAGAAGATCCATGAGACCTCACTTGAGTCAATCCCAGGGTGATCATTTCCCCTCTGTGCACCCCCTCACATGCACACTCTTGAGGGGTATCAGAATACGTAAATCTCTCACCATCCCTAACTCTGAAGAGTCAGGCTTTGGATTAGAACAGCACAGATCTGAGCATAACGGATATAGTTTGAATAATAAATGTTTGCTCACACACACAAGCATCCGCACATACAGAGATATAAAATTCTTTCTACTGTAATTATGGCATCTAATATACACTACTATTTTAATTCAATATATCTTGGAATGAATCTCAACTAGCACATACTGTGATATATAAATGTTTCAAAAAATGCCTTGTATTGCATTAAATGGATATACCTTATTTTATTTAATCATTATGATTGCTTCATCTTTCACTATAAAAATGTTATAATAAATATCCTTTGGTGTGTATTTTAACCTATATAGCATACAACTATTCTAAATGATTAGGGTTTTTTTTTTCTTTTGATACTGGGGCTTGAACTCAGGGCCTACACCTTGAACCACTCCACCAGCCCTTTTTGTGTTGGGTTTTTTCGAGATAGGGTCTTTTGGACAATTTTCCCGAGCTGGCTTCAAAACACGATCCTCCTGACACTGCCTCCTGAGTAGCTAGGATTACAGGTGTGAGCCTCTGGCACCCGACTCTTAAATGATTAATTCTTAATCGTATAGTTGCTCAAACACTATATACATTTTAAGTTGGGATATGCCTTGGTCAAATCAGTTTTCAGTAAGATTGGGTTATACAATCAGGTTCCAAGTCCTGACCAATAAATGATTGCCTTGTCTAGTTGGAGAAGGTTTATGTGGTTCATGGGTCTTGGCTTAAAGATAACAGAAACCCAGAAAATCAAACAAAATAATATTACTGACCCAGAAGTCTGTCTTCTGCCTGCATCTATGAAACTATGTCAAGCTAACTTGTTAGCTTATGCATTGGGTAAAATACCAGATACTTCGCAGTTCGTGACAGAAACTTGTGGTTTTTGATTGGTATCAGAGGTATGAGTGTGAACTGGTGGTTTCAAAATATATAAACAATAGGTATATAGATTGATCTATCTACTGAATGTTGTAGAGACATTTGTATATCTTTTGGTCTTTCCAAGGACCCGAACTAGGGCAGCAGTAGTAAGCACATCAAATGCCCAGATCTCGGTTTATAAATTCGTTCTTCAACAAAATAAACTAGAGCTCCTTGAGGAAACTGCTGATTCCAAGGCCAGAGCAGGAAAAGCACAAGATGGGCTTAGAATACTTATTGTATCAGAAAATAAGAAAATGCTTTTCAAAAAAAGGCATTTTATCATGGTTTCAGAGATTTTAGTAAAAGAAAAAAGAAGGCATTTTGAAAGGACACAGGACCGAACTAAAGGGGATCCTAACGGTCAAATGTGGGTAAAAAAATTAATAATAATAATAAAGGATCAAAACTCAAAGACTAAAATGAATACACGAGCCTATAAATAAGTAAATATACACACAGGGAAGAGACAGCTCTTCCTTACAGGAAAATTTAAATTAATCAATGTAGAAGAAAAGATACAGAAAAATCACCAAACATCAAAGTATTATCATAGATAAGATTGATAAATCGAGGGGGAATAAAGGAGAATGATGGGGGGGTATGAATTCAACTATAATATATTGTAAAAAAAACAAAGACAGATCATGGTTATAAATTGGTGTTAAAATTAAAAAGCAAAGCCAGGCATGGTGGTACACATCTGTAATCCCAGCACTCAGGAGGCTATGGTAGGAGGATTGTGAGTTTGAGGCCAGCCTGGTCTACATAGCAAGACCAGCAAGAACCTGTCTCAAAAAAAGAAAAAAAAAATTAAAGGGGAAAAGCATAATGAGAAACAGGGTTTTTACACAGCCTCAAATTTCCCCTTGAGATATTTATAAAGTAAAAATGGAAAAACCGTAATTTTACAGAGGAGAAATCTGGCAAAACCAACTCACCCAAATGATCAACGTTAACATTACAATCATGAGATACAATACCATCATCTAACTCTAATACAATGCACTGAGAGGAGTGACCACATCTGTGATCTTCTTGCCAAAAATGCATAGTCTAAGTTTGAACATGAGGAGACACCAGACAAACTCAAAGTGAAAACCATGCTAAAAAATAACTGGCTAGCTGGGTGCAGGTGGGTCCCGCCTGTAATCCTTGCTACTCAGGAGGCAGAGATCAGGAGGACTGTGGTTCGAAGCCAGCCTGGGGAAATAGTTCACGACACCCTATCTCAAAAATCCCACCAAAAAAGGGCTGGTGGAGTGGTTCAAGGTGTAGGCCCTGAGTTCAACAGTACCAGGAAAAAAAAAAAGGCTAATATTCTTCAAAAGCGTCAAGTCACGAAAGATTAAAAAGGAATAAAAAATTATCTCAGATGGGGAAAGATTCATGAGACAAGACAAACTAGCATGGGACCTTGTATTATACCCTAAAACAGAAAAGAACAATTAGCAAAATTTGAATATGGACTGTAAAAAGTTAAAAGATTTTATTTGTGTAAGTTTCCTGGGGTTTTTCTCTCACAATTGTACAGTAGTCATGTAGGTGAAAAATATATGTGAATTCTTTACAATGTTCACAATATGAAAATAAAAAAATTTAAATGAAAAAACCTAAGATAAAAAAAGGCAAAAATGGGTAAAAGAACCTGAATGGACACTTTAAAAAAAAGAATATTCAAGCCAGGTGTTGTGGTGCACAGCTGTAATCCCAGCACTCCTGAGGTATAGGCAGGAGGACCTGGACTTCAGCCATCCTGGGCTGCATAGGGACAAGCTGGTGGAAGGGAGGGAAAAAGAGAGAGAGGAGGAAGAGAGAGAGGAAAAAAAAAAAAGGGAAAGAGAGAGAAAAGAATATACAAATGGCCAATAAACATAGGAAAAGGTGAAATGCAGATTAAAACCCTATGAAATTCAAGTACACAACCAATGGCATAGTTAAAAGATTACAACAGGGCAAAAAGTTCACCAGACCCCCATCTCAACCAATAAAAGCTGAGTGTTCTGGTACACGCCTGTTATTTCAGATAATAGTAATCATAAATAGGAGGAAGACTGTGATCTAGGCCAATCCATGAGTAAAGCGAGACTATCAAAACAACCAATCAATGCAAACAAAAACAAAACCACCACAAAAAAAACAGCTGGGGGCATGGCTCAAGTGATAGAGTGCCTGCTTAGCAAGTGCAAAGCCCTTAGTTCAACCACCAGCACAGGAAGAAAAAAAAAAAAGTATCGATTAAACACACACCTGCTGGGAGCTGGTGGCTTATACCTGTAATCCTAGTTACTTGGGAGGCTGAGATCAGGAGGATCATGGTTCAAGGCCATCCTAGGAAAATGAGTTGTGAGTCCCCATCTCCAAAATAACCAGAGCAAAATGGACTGGAGGTATGGTTCAAGCAGTAGAGCACCTGCTTTACAAGTGTAAAGCCCTGAATTCAAATCCCAGTCCCACCAAAAACCAAAAACCTTATACCTGCCTTATAATGTAGCAATTCTACTCCCACCTATTTATCCAAGAGAAATTCATTCATATATTTACCAAAAATATGAATTTTTGTATTGGCATGATTTGCAGTAGTCTCAAACTGGAAACTATCCAAATACAGTGCAATCAATTAATACACTGTAATATATCCCCAAATGTAAGGAGAAGTACAATTACAATGAGCAACATGGATGAATTTCATACACAAAACACGGAACAAAAGAACCAGGTGTAAAGGGGTACATGCCATATAATTTCATATATACACTACTGGTGACAGAAGTGATTGTGGAAGAGAAATGACTGAGAAGAGGCATGAGGTTCTTAGCAAAACTCCTTTTTTTTCTTTTCTGGAGACAGGATTACACTATGTAGCCTATGCTGGTCTTGAACTCACAATCTTCCTGCCTCAGCCTCCAGAATGCTGGGATTACAGATGTGCACCACTTTACCTGCCTATGGCAAAATTCTCTATGTTGATCTAGGAAATCGTTACACACCTGTATACTTTACTCTATATGCTAAATCTCCTGAAAAATTAAAACAAGATTTTTAAGCACATTTTAAAATGTTTTGGTAGGGATATGGAATAATAAGATGTGTCAAACATTGCTATGCAAGTGCAAATCTTTGCATCATTTAGTAAAATGGAAGACGTCATAATACTGGGCAGTTCCACTGATGGATCACGTAAGCATGTGCGCCCCACAAAAAAGAATCGTGGTCGCGTTGTTTATAAAATAAAAACCTAGAAATAACTCAAATGTCCACCATTACTGGAAGGAATGAGTAAGTACAGTATACTTCAAAGCCTGAAATACGAAATAGCAAAGAAACTGAATGCACTGCTATTATATTTAATTCGGTTGATTCTCACAAACATAGCTGTACAAACAAATATAACAAAAGACAAAGGACATAACAGCATTGGTACGAAGTTTAAAACGAGGAAAAACTACAATAAAATGCTTACAGAGGTATACATAAGTGAGAAAACTGCACACTATTAATGTACGCTAATTAAAAAATAAGCTACAAAACCCTCACACACACCTAATCACAAACACACAATGGGGGCATTCAGGACGCCCGCACTCGATCCAGCAGGGTCACACATCGGGAACTCCATGGGCCACATTTGCCAAACGCGCTCCCGGTCGCACAGTCACACGGGAACAGTCACAGGCGCCGCACGCCGCACCTGCTCACGTCACGAGCACACCGTGACCAATACGCACAAACACGACCCTACGGCATCCACGGCACGACCACTCGTCACAAGCCACCCCACAGACGCATCCCAGCAACTCAGTCTCAACTCTTCCTCTGGCACAATGCCCAGGGTTGGGCAATAGCCCCACCCCCACTCGGTCCCTCACCTCGGGCCTCACACGATTCCGAAGCAGCAGAACCCTCACAGCACTCCAGCAGTTGCAGGTGAAGCCCTTAAGGTCCCGCCAGCGCGTGACTTTAAGGCTAAATTCCCGCGAGAAGCCGAGGAGTCCTCTGGGAAACGTAGTCAGAGGCGTAACAGGGGGGACGAACAAGATGGCTCCTGATCTTCAGGATTACTGTTTGTACCTAGCAGTAGTGCCGCCAAAAAGATCGCGCTCCTCATCGAAACGCACCCCGAAGGCTTCGTCACTCATTGAAAGGCACTCCTAAGGCTTAGCGGATTAGGCGATCAGTCCCCAGCAGTCGCACCCAAAGAAAGCCACTCCAACGCGTTTGAGATGGTTGACCTTTATGACCCTCCGTGCTAGCCCGAGGAGCCGGAGGAAAAAAGGAGGGCAAATTTGCGTAGGATGGTATTACGGACCGCTGCGCTTTCTGGGAAATGTAGTTCAAAGCAGAGAAAGCGGTGGATGGGCGGTGCGAAGGTTTCTCAGAGAAAAACCCCACTGCTTAGCCACACATTGGAGACAAATTCGAACGCTTAGTAGTTCCCAAAAGTGCACCGGCACAGGTTTCCTGGGCCGCAATTTCCTCTTTGTGTGGGGGTGAGTTGGCTTGCTGTGACCCAAAGCTAGTCTCACAAATAATGCAAGCTGAAGAGGTTGGAGACCAGGAACCTTTAAGGGAATTGGGGAAGCCCCGCGCCGATGGGTGACTCACGCCTGTAATCCTAGCTTCTTGGGAGGCTGAGATCGGGAGGATCGTGGTTCGAGACCAGTACCGGCAAATAGTTCGCTGAGATTCCCCCATCTCCAAAACAACTAAAGCAAAATGGACTGGAGGTGTGGCTAATGCAGTAGAACACCTGCTTTGAGAGTGTGAAGCCCTGCGTTCAAACCCCGATCCCACTGGAAAAAAAAGAATAGGGAGGCTGAAAGGGATGGGGGAGGATTCGCCAAACGTGCGACGGGTTCAGGGACGCAGAAAAAGAGGAGTTTCTGAAATTGTGAAGCAGTTCATGTTCTCCTGAGCTACTGAGTTCAGTGTGTATGGTGAAGGCTATGGAGAATCGGGACAATGAGGTGGGGTTTGCAGGAAGCAAGTAAGGGAGTGTTTCATAGGTGGTGGGCGTCCATTGAGATAAACCGCATTCAGAATTTGTGTGGATGTGGAATTGATACTTTAAAGGTATTGCATACGTTACTGGGATTGTAAATATGGGGAGTCAGTCATCTCTGAGCTTCATCTGTAAAACAGTAAGGGTGGATTTTTCTGGAGCATTAACTTTTCTTGAAGATTAGAAGGGGGAAAGTTTATGCAGTTAAGCTTATAATGATTTTAAAAATTGCGGGGTGGGGGGAACGGGGGACCTCGCGTTTGCTATGCAGGCACTCTACCACTTCATCCACTTCACCAGCACTTAAAATTTGATGTACAGCTGGGCATGGAGGTTCACTTCTGTAATCCCAGCACTTGAGAGGCTGAGGCAGAATTGAGGCAGGATAGACTAGGGACATGGGACATGAGAAGCAGAAACTAGGAATTTAGAAATAAACTTGATATTAATGAATAATCTGATTTAAAAGACCCAAACACACTTTCTTCTTTTCATTGAGCAATAAAACTGTGACTTACCCTCCCCACTCTGGTCCTTACTTCAGATGATTATTATGCCTTAGGGATAAGCATGTGTACCTTCAAGAAACTATGTGGTTCACTCCACTTCCTTCATTTGAAAGGTAATCGTCAAGAAGTTACAAAAAGCCTGACCTGGCTAATCACCTCTGTAATCCCAGCCATTTGTGAGATCAGGAGGATCATGGTTTGAAGCCAGCCTGGTAAAAAGTTAGTGAGATACTGACTCAATTAATAAACTGGGAATGGTGGTGCACACCTGTTACCCCAGCTACTTGGTGGCATAACTGGGAAGACAGAGTTCCAGACCAGTCAGGGTAAAAATGGGAGATCTTATTAAAAAAAAAAAAAGAAAGAAAGAAAGCAAAAAGGAGTGGGAGTTCAAACCCCAATACTGCCAAAAATTATTTTTAAAAAAACCACTAAGGCAGAAATATATATTGCAAGGACCTGGAATTTGTATCTTCAGCCTAGCTGATAATGTCAGAATGTTATTTCAGCAGACAGGGTTGAGATGTACCAAATGCCTAGAACAATAAGGGCCCTTTATCCGAAGAAATATCTAACAGGAATCCCCCATCCCACTTTTCCTAGCATTTATGCCTCTCCTAAATCAGCCCATTCAAGCCCTTCTGTGTGCCTAATTTATGTGGCATGTCTGTCCTTTTGCTCTACTTGCAGAATAAGTGTGTTTTCTCCTTGTCTGTGTGTTTCTCCATGCCTGAAAAAAAATTTTTTGGTGGGTCTGGATTTTAACTCAGGGCCACATGCTTTGCAAAGCAGGCACCCTACCACTTGAGCCACACCTCCAGTCCATTTTTGCTCTGGTTATTTTTTGGAGCCGAGGGTCTCATGAACTATTTGCCCAGGCTGGCTTCAAACCATGATCCTCCCAAATCTCAGCCTCCCAAGTAGCTAGGATTATAAGCATGAATCACTTGCATCTGTTCCTGCCTGAAATTCTTATTCTGTGCTCAGGAAAAGAATGTAAAGTGTTCAAGATTTTGTTTGTTTGGGGTTTTTTTGGATACTGGGTTTGAACTCTTGCTAGGCAGGTACTCTACCACTTGAGCCGCTCTGCCAGCCCTTTTTTGTGTTGAGTATTTCTGAGATAGGGTCTTGAGAACTGTTTGCCCAGGCTACTACTCTCTGTTTCCTGAGTAGAGGATTACAGGTGTGAGCCACTGGCACCCAGTGATAAAATTTTGACTTATGTAAAATCAGAAACATCTGTTATAAAAAATCAGTGTTGTTTTCTTTAAACATAACATCAATTTCAAAGAAATTTTATGTGTGTGGCAGGAAGCTAACTTGCTTTTTTTTGTGGTACTGGGGCTTGAACTCAAGGCCTACACCTTGAACCACTTCACCCTTTTTTAGTGAATGTTCTTTTCAAGGTAGGGTCTCATGAATTATTTGCCTGGGCTGGCTTTGAGCCTCAGTCCTCCTGATTTCTGTCTTGTGAGTAGCTAGGATTTATAGGCATGAGCCACCGGCTCCCAGCTGCTTACTTTTGCTTAGAGCACAGACCATGGAGATACAGCCATTCAATCTTTTGGCTTATTTTAGGGTGTTAGAGGATGTGTGGGGGAGGGGGTAGGTGCTATACTAAAGTTGCTGGTTTGGGAGGTGCTGGCCTAAGGAATAACTCAAGTTTGAAGAGCAGTTGTCAACTATTCCAATTACCAGAAGGGTGAGTTAGGCCCACACTGGCTTCAAACCGCAATCCTCCTGATCGCTGTCTCATGAGTAGCTAGGATTACAGGTGTAAGCCACTGACACCCAGCTATTGGCCTATCTTTTGTGTGTGTGAAAATATATATAACATATTGCTGGGATCTCAAGGGTCCCTGACCCAAATGGACCTACAGAAGGACTGAAGACACGAAACACACGAAAGGACTCAGGAAGGAAGGAAATCATGAGACACGTGACCAGAAGGCTGGTGACCTAACTGGCCAATTTTTATTTTTGCATCAGGCTTTTTAAGCAGTACAAAGTAGGAAGTTATACAATGTAAGAAGAACTTCTATTCCTGGGAAACAATGTCCTCTACCTGAAAAACAATGTTCTTACTCCAATCTCCTAGGTTTCACAAACGAAACTCAGACCCTCCTATTTTCTGTGAGGACACCCAAACCTCCCTGTTTTCATCTAGCTTCACTTGGTTTCACATATATAAAACTTGGGCTTGGTTGCCAAAGGCTTGTGCCATGTTTCTGACCGTTCATAAACAAATAGCTTCAGGTTAATATTTCTTTTCTCCAGACAAAGGGAGCCTCTCCATGTTTCCTCAAAACCTCAGTGAGAGACGTGGTGCACTTGCAGTCCCTGACCTTGTCAGGATCCTGCTAAGCCACAACGACCTTGTCAGATTGCAGCTCATAGCTCCCAACAATATATAATTTATAACTATATATTATATAATTTATCGTTTTGCAAAACAGATTCTATACCCATTGAACGGCTTCCTGTTTCCCGTTTCTTAGGCCTCTGGCAACCAACATTCTACTTTGTTCTAATGAATTTTACTACTCAAGGTATCTTACATGTAAGTGGAGTCATACACAATTTGTCTTTTCTTGTGATTGACTTAATTCTCTTAACATAACGTAAAGGTTCTTTCATGTTGTAGAATATGTCAGAATTTCCTTCCTTCCATTTTCTTATATGGTCTGAAATCAAACCCAGGACCAAGCACATGCTAGGCAGGCACTCTACACTGAACTACACTCCCAACCCTCCTTCCTTTTGTTAACATTGAACTTCATGTACACACTACAACTGCTTCTCCATGCATCCATCAGTGGCCCCTGGGTTGCCTCTTTTTGGCTATTGTGAGCAATTCTGCTGTGAACATGGATTTGCACATAATCTCTTTGGAAGGTTGCTTTCAGTTCTTCTGGATGTGGCATTGTGAGGCATATGGTAATCCTGTGTTTCATCTTTTTTGAGGAACCACCATATTGTTTTCTACAGCAGCTGCACCCTTTCATCAGCAATGCAGAAGGGTTTGATTTCTCCACATCCTCACTTGGTCTTTTCTGTTTTTAAAATAATAACCATCTTAGTGGCTGTGAAGTGGTTTCTCATTATGGTTGTGATTTATATTTCCTTAATTAGTGCTATTGAGCATATTTTTGTTTGCTTATTGGCAATCTATTCAAAACTTTTGCACATTTTAAAATTGGATTATTAACTTTCTGTTTAGTTATAGAAATTCTTTATATAATTCTGGTTTTTAAGCTTTTATCAGTTATTTGAGTTGCAGACATTTCTCCCATTCAATGGGTTGCCTTTAAACTCTGTTGATAGTGTCCTTTGGTGCATAATTTTAAAAAATGCACAAAATTTTAATAATATTTTAGTATGAAGTCCAATTTATATGGTTTTTCTTTGTAAGCATTTATTTCTGA